CTCCACAATGTCAAATGCCAATTCCCCATGCAAGGCCTTGCAGTACATATACAGCACTGTATGTGCAGCCACACTGTAAAAATAAAATGTGTGTTCTAAAATTGGGATATTCCAACATATGAATATTCTTCTTCTTCCCTGCAATTTTCAGCAGGCTCTATCCTTTCCATTTCCAGTTTCTATCATTTTATTTTCTTATCAGAGCTTGCCTCAAATCTAATACACATATTACAACCCAAATGTCAAACTTTTGATAATAGTCCACGGTAACAATAAACATTTTTCTACTTTTGATTAAGAGAAATTTTATTATTTCTAACTACATAAATTAGCTACTTTTTTTTCTACTCTGGAGGACATTCAATTGTCTTCAACCCCGGGCTTCTCTTCCAACAACTTCTCTTGCATCTCTATTTTTCTTCCACAGTTCAAGATGTTCCATCTTGAGGGGGGGAGTGTTGGAATACACCATCTCATTAGATCATACATCCAGCACTAGCTCAATCAGTTCACGTGTTCCAGCATCAGTTAAAGATTCCATTCCAACTTATTCCACACGATTCAGCAACTCCTCTAGCTCACCAGCACATGCCTTATTCTAGATCCTTCTTTAGTTTGTTATGTAGTTAGGAATTCACTCTATAAATAGAGCTATGTACTTTATGATTTACTTGAGCTTGATGAATAAATAAATTCTCCTTCTATCAACAGATGCTTCACCAGCTCATGCCTTATTCTAGATCCTTCTTTAGTTTGTTATGTTGTTAGGAATTAACTCTATAAATAGAGCTATGTACTTCATGTTTTACTTGAGCTTTAGATGAATAATAAGTGTTCTACATATTCTATCATCAAGTTCCTTCAATGTGTTTTACATATTGAATCTATCTCTTTTATTTTCATTTTATTGCTGAAGTTTCATTCCAGCATTAAGTTTCATTTCATTCATTTTATATTTTTTCAACAAGCTCTGAAACCTCGTGCGTCTAGAGCTAGCTTGTAAGACCCCATATTATTGAGGCAAGCCAACAAGTCCTCGCACATCGTGGCTAGCTCATAGTTCTCTCTATTATTGAGGCAAGTTCATATGAGCCTACATATCTGGGGTTAACTAGTAAGACCTTGCATCATTGATAGTGAGCCTTAGTTTGTGTTTTTTTGTATTGTCGAAGGCGGACCTTGTTCCTTAAAAAAGGAAGAGGCGATATTTTGGAATCCTCGTTCCTCACAAAGGAACATAAGGTGTTTTGGAGTCCTCATCTTCATGAGAGGATTGTTCCATTTATTCCTCATCTCCATGAAAGTATCAATTTATTTGCTCTGCGTCTCAATAAGAGGATTTGTTTATTTTATCCTATTCTCCAAAAAAGGATTAGTTTATTTGCTCTTCATCTCCACGAGAGAATTGACATATTTATTCCTCATCCCCATGAGAGAATTGTTGCATTTATGCCTCACATCGCGTGATGATTGTCAGTCTTTGCTTCATTAAATTCTTTGCCATATATTGCTATATACAAGTCCAATACCTAACATATAATGTCGGGCCCGAACTTGAGAGACTATTGGGATAATAGTACCCCAGTAGCATTATGTTAGTATTGGTAGCGTGTCACGATACCATTTCTATTACCTCCCAAACGCGCATGCAGCATCATTTACATTACCATTGACATGCATGCATGCCACACCATCTATATTACCATTGACATCATATTACTTGTTTCGCATTAAACTATGTTAGCATATCATCTACTATACAAGCATATTATCTGCTATAATACATGATGAACTACCCATATAGTATATCATCATGAGTATTTGAAGGGGAAAAGGGGCTCCAATTTATTCTGTATATGTGCATAGGTTACAGAGGAGATACTACCAAAAATTTGCCAAATTATCCATATTACGAAGGAGATGCTACCGAAATTTGACAAATTATATACAATATCTATCTTTCGAGGCTAACCGTAAAGCCCACATCTTCGAGTTTAATTAGTAAGCCCTCAATATTACATCTTTCAATGCTATCTATAATGCCTCATCTCTTCGTGGAATTTAGGCTTATATAGGTATTTTTGAGGCAATTTGTAAGTCCCCACTTCTTCAGGCTCGTACAAGTATTTTTTTTAAGGCAATCCATAAGTCCTTTCTTATTCAGATTCGTACACATTTTTTAGGCAATCTATAAGTCTTTAATTTATTCATATTTGTAAACATATTTTCATGATAGTTCGTAGGTCCTCATTTATTAGAGTGATTCATGTTTCAGAGACTATCTGTAAGTCCTCGTATTCTGGAAACTTTCGTTAGTATTCATCTATTCGTCATATCAAATATTTCAACGACTATCTATAAGCCCTTGTATCTCAAAGATTATTTGCACGTATTCATCTGTCAGTAATCAACTCATATTCTTAGGCAATTTGTAAGACCTCACCTACTTGAAAACATATATTTCAAAGTCTGACCCACATATAAATATACGACTCATATTTGGGGACTATTTGTTATCCATATTAATTACGTAGCATGCACTTGATTGAGAGGCCTTGCATTTGATGACTCGACATCAATTGATTACTTGGATTGGGTCAATTGAATCAAGTACACTCATCTTGGCTTGGGCTGGACCCATCTTCGCCTATTCTTTCTTCTCTACATACTAGTCATAGTTAAATGTGCAATGCACATTGTTTTGAGATACTTTATAAGTGCTATAAAAGTAATATTTGAAGATGCGTGAATATAAAAGCTAGTTAAAAAATTGTTTATGTGAAATAAACTTATTATTCAATGAGAATCTCTTAGTACACTATAAGTTTTGTGTGATTAATGGTATCTAACTTAACTGAAACCTTTGTAGTTGCAATAGAAATTCCTCTTAAAAGTGCAACATATAAATATCCATGCAAGAATACATGTTATGGAAGATATATTTCAACATAAGGTATTGTCTGTCCTTGGACCTTGTTGATTGTCATAGCAAAACAGAGATGAATAGTAAAAAATTCATAAATTGTTTTACCTCAAGTATGAAGACAATGAACAGAGAAAAAAAATTAAATGAATAATTGAAACCATGGAAACACACACTAGTACTTGTTTTATTACATGTTTATAGTTCGTGTATCATGGAATGACTGCTACTGATTATTAATCTTCACGAATACCAGGGGATCAAATATAAAAAGGAGAAAATAATAACTACCCATTGTTTTGCAATGTGCTTTAAGCTTATACCTTAAGGCCCGTCTCACATGACTGCCCTCATTAATCACATCAACTCTTACATTTTCAGTGTCATTTGACAAGGTTTAAACAATGACTTATTGAGGCATATGACTTTGAGCATTTAATTGAGATTTGGTGTCCGCATGCATTCACACAGGAAAAAAATTCATGAATTGTTTTACCTCAGGTTTGAAGACGACGAACGGAGAAAAAAATTATATTAATAATTTGATATTTAGATTAAGGATGCTTTATAGATAATAGAACAATAAAATTACAAAATATATAGCCATCATAATAAATGTATTACCTCCTTGTTAATTACGATAATCCTCAAAATATCAAAATTTTCGACATTGTTGGAAAAAGATTCAACTAAACCCTTCGAACAACTATCGGGGATTCATTTTTATATACCGATAAGTCTCTTATAGGATTTGATTCCATGATGCAGAAGAGCAAAATATTTGATGATTGAAATGAAATAACAACCAATTTGTAATAATAATTTAAATCATTGAAAGATTAATTCATTTATATCTAATACTCATGAGAACAATCAAATACATCCATGAACGTGGAATTTAATTGATTTGAATTAATGAATATAGAAAAATAATAATTTATATACACTTGATCTTGAAAATTAATTTAGACGAAAATGTATGTACGTAAACCTAGAGAATAAATTTATGTCATAGATTAAACGAAAAATTTTGAAAATAAATGTGTAGATGAACTAGAATAAAGTATTTACTTGTAGAGAAATTGATTAGCCCACAAAACAAATAAAATGTACATGAACTTGAAGAATTAATTTGCACACTTTTGATTTAAATATGAGAGGAATGGAAGCCCTTGAAAATAAATCTTATTTATTATTCATGCACGTAAATAGTGAAATATATAATTAAATGTTAAATACGTATTGAAAAATGAAAAGTAATGTATTATTGAAATAATTGAATTGTAGTAGGTCTAGGATCGTCTAAAAAAAATTTTGTTTGTTCTACCTCAAGTTTGAAGACGATGAACGAGAAAAAAAAATTAAATATATAATTGAAACCATTGGTAACACACACTTTAGGTCTATCTCGGTGAAAAATGCTCGTTCTTGCATGTTCACAATTTGTGCATCATGGAATGACTTCTACTAATTATTAATATTCACAAGTACTAGGGGATAAAATACAAAAAAAGGAGAAAATAAGAACAACCCATTATTTTACAAAGTGCTTTAAGCTTACGTCTTAAGGCCTGTCTTACATAAATTCTTTAATTAATCACATCAAATCTTACATTTTCAGTGTCATTTGTCAAGGTTAAAAGCCATTACTTACTAAGGCGTATGCCTCAAGGCACAAGAGCGAATCCAGACCATTTGTCTTGTGGGGTCAAAAATGAGAATTCAAAAATATTTAGAATTACATATCATTAACGAAAATAAGTCAATACGATATTACAGCTGTAACCCTAAGCGTTTTCATACTCTGAAAACGTCGTATAAAATTCAAACGAAACAATATTTTTCCCAAAAAAGATTTTAAAAATTAGATACTCTTTTAAATGTTGAAAACAAAAACAAAACTTCAAAATACATCTATCTCTGTCTATGCCAGCATACAGAATTGCAATTTGTGAGCTAAAACTATNCACCAAAAGGAGCATATGTAAGTGCAATAAACGGCGATTTTGTCCCAGCACTTAGCACCTGCGGAAGAATTCAAATAACCGATGCCAATCCACAATGGGCAATGGAGACCATGCCTTTACCAAGAGTCATGGGTGACATGGTATTGTTACCAAATGGCAAAGTGTTGATCATCAATGGGGCATCTATGGGTACAGCAGCGTGGGAATTAGGTCGGAACCCAGTTTTGTCACCAGTTATTTACAAACCTGACAATCTAAGTGGATCAAGATTTGAAGTACAGAACTCTAGTTCTACGCCGCGAATGTATCACTCAACCGCAATATTGCTTCGTGATGGCCGGGTTTTGGTCGGTGGTAGCAATCCTCATCAATATGACTGTTTCATGGGAGTTCAATTTCCTACAGATTTAACCTTGGAAGCATTTTCACCTGCGTATTTAGATCCAAATTTTGCGTGGTTGCGTCCAAATATAATTTCACCTGCTTCACAATCTAATATGGGGTATGGACAACAACTTGCTGTTCGGTTCGGTATACCTCCAGGCAGATTAAATAGGAATTCCGTCATAGTGACAAGAATTTTGCTGAATGTCCCGGCTCAGTGACCGGGACATTTGACAGGGCGCCGCCTGTTATTGGATGGGGGGCTGACTTCGGTCAGCTCCCCCTCCAATTGTATGGTGCCACCTCGGCACCTGTATTTTGGCCCGGTCATTGAGCCGGGCCATGTAGCATCTCTCTTGTTTTACCTCAACTTTGAAACGAGGAAAATAGAAAAAAAACATTTATAATAATTGAAAATTAAGATTAAGATTAAGGACGTTCCACGAATAATAGGATAATATAATTAAAAAATAAATTTTCGTCATAATAGACATATTACCTCCTTATCAATTACGATGATCCTCAAAATATCATAATTTTCAGTATTGTTGAAATAAGATTCGACTAAACCCTTTCGATCTATCGTGACTTTAATGGACCATTCATTTTCATACGCTGATAAATCTCTTATAGCATTTGATTCCGTGATGCACGAGAGAAAAATAATTGGTGATTGAAATGAAATAACAACCAATTTGTGATAATAATTTAAATAGTTGAGAGATTAAGTCAATTACTTCTAACACTAACGAGAACAATCAAATACATCCACGACCATGGAATTTAATTAATTTGAATTAATAAATATAAAAAAATAATAATTTATATGCACTTGATCTTGAAAATTAATTGTGACAAAAGGGTATGCACGTAAACCTAAAGAATAAATTTATATCATAGACTAAATAAATAAGTGCACATGAACTTGAATAATTTATTTATTCCTAGAGCAATTAAATAGCTCTCAAAGCATATAAAGTGTACATGAACTAGAAGAATTCATTTTCATTCTTTTGATCTAAATGTGAGATTAATGTAAGCCCCTACAAAAGTAAATCTTATTTATTATAGAGGCACATAAATAGTGAAATGTATACTTTATGTTAAATATGTATTGAAAAACGAAAAATAAGATATTATTGAAATAATTGAATTTTAGCAGAACTAGTATCGTCCAAGAATGATTCTCACTTTGTTCTACCTCAAGTTTGAAGACGATGAACAGAGAAAAAAATGAAATTAAGAATTGAAACCATGGACAACACACACTTTAGTTCTATATTTCATTGGAAAGTACTTGTTTTATTACATGTTTACAGATTATGCATCGTGGAATGACAGCTACTGATTATTAAACGACATGAGTACCAGAGGATAAAATACAAAAAGGAGAAGATAAGAATTGCTTGTTTTACAATGCGCTTTAAGCTTACGCCTTAAGGCCCATCTCACGTAAATGCCTTTGTTAATCACATAAAATCTTACATTTGTCAAGGTTAAAGCCATGAAATACTGAGGCGTATGGCTCAAGGCATATGACTTTGGGATTTAATTGAGATTTGGTGTCTGCATGCTTTCACACATAAAAAGTAAAAAATAAAAAATAAATCATGAATTGTTTTACCTCATGTTTGAAGACAACGAACAAAGAAAAAAAGTATACTAATAATCGAATATTTAAAATATGATTCCAGAAGATTTATTGATAAAAGGATAATATAATTATAAAATAAATAGCCATCGTAATAGACATATTACCTCCTTATCAATTAAGATGATCCTCAAAATATCAAAATTTTCAGCATTATTTGAATAAGATTCGACTAAACCCTTTCGAACTATCGTGACTTTAATGGACCATTATTTTCACACACCAATAAGCCTCTTACAGCATTTAATTCCATGATGTAGGAGAGGAAAATATTTGGCGATTGATATGAAATAACAACCAATTTGTGATAATAATTTAAATAGTTGAGAGAGTAATTCATTTATGTCCAACACTCATCGCGAATTTAATTAATTTGAATTGATGAAATTAGAAAAATAATAATTTTTATATATGTGATCTTGAAAATTAAATTAGACAAAAGGGTGTGTTCGTGAACCTAGAGAATAAATTTATATCATTCATTAAATGGATAATCTTGAAATTAAAAAAAAAAAATGTACATGAACTTGAAGAATTTATTTGCACCATTTTGATCTAAATATGATAGAAATGCAAGCTCTTGAAAGTAAATGTTAATTATTATACATGCACGCAAAAAGTGAAATGTATAATTTATGTTAAATCCGTATTGAAAAACGAAAAGTAAGGTATTATTGAAATAATTAAATTGTAGTAGGGTTAGAATCGTCCAAAAATTATCCTCATTTTGTTCTGCCTCAATTTTGAAGACGATGAAATGAGAAAACAATTTAAATTAATAATTCAAACCATGGGCAACATACACTTTAGTTCTATAACTCAATAGAAAGTACTTGTTTTATTGCATGTTTATAGCTTGTGCACCATGGAATAACACCTATTGATTATTAAACTTCACGAGTACCAGACGATAAAATACAAAAAGGAAAAATAAGAACGACCCATTGTTTTACAAAGCTGTTTAAGCTCACGCCTTAAGGCCCGTCTCACGCAAATGCCTTCATTAATCACATGAAATCTTACATTTTCAGTGTCATTTGTCAAGGTTAAAGCCATGACTTATTGAGGCGTACGCCTCAAGGCATATGACTTTAGGCATTTAATTGAGATTTTGTGCACGCGTGCAATCGCACAGAAAAAAATATGTATTATTAATAATTGAATATTAATATTAAGATTAAGGATGTTTTATGAATAATATAGGATAATATAATTACAAAATAAATAGTCACCATAATAGAGGTACTACCTCCTTGTCAATTAGGATGAGCCTCAAAATATTAAATTTTTCTGCATTGTTGGAATAAGATTTCACTAAACCCTTTGAACTATCATTGCTTTAATGGACCGTTCATTCTCATGCATAAATAATTCTCTTATAGCATTTGATTCAATGGTACTAGAGAGCAAAATATTTGATAACTGAAATGAAATAACAACCAATTTGTGAAAATTATTTAAATAGTTAAGAGATTAATTCATTTACGTCTAATACTCATGAGAACAATCAAATACATCCACAAACATGAAATGTAATTAATTTGAATTAATGAATATAAAAAAATGATAATTTATAAACACATGATCTTCAAAGTTATTTTAGACAAAAGGGTATGTACATGAACTTGGAAAATAAATTTATATCATAAATTAAATGAATGATCTTGAAAATAAATAAGTATACGTGAACTTGAATAAATTATTTACTCTTAGAGCAATTTAAAACCTCCAGAACATATGGAGTGTACAAGAACTTGAAGAATTAATTTGCACCATTTCAATCTAAATATGAGAGAAATGCAAGTCCTTAAAAATAAGTGTTAATTATTTTACATGCATGTAAATAGTGAAATGTATAATTGATAATTACTACATATTGAAAAACGAAAAGTAAGGCATTATTGAAATAATTGAATTGTAGTAGAGCTAGAATCATCCAAAAATGATTGTCACTTTGTTTTGCCTCAAGTTTGAAGACGGTGAAAAGAGAAAAAAATTAAATCAATAACTGAAACCATGAGCAACATATACTTTAGTTCTATATCTCAATGGAAAGTACTTGTTTTATTGCATGTTTACAGTTTGTGCATCTTGGAATAACACCCCTTGATTGTAAAACTTCACGAGTACCAGAGGATAAAATACAAAAAGGAAAAAATAAGAACTACCCATTGTTTTACACAGCGCTTTAAGCTCACGCCTTAAGGTCCGTCTCACGTTAATGCCATCATTAATCACAAAAAATCTTACATTTTCAGTGTCATTTGTCAAGGTTAAAGCCATGACTTATTGACGCGTATGCCTCAAGGCATATGACTTGGGGCATTTAATTGAGTTTTGGTGCACGCATGCATGTCGCACAGAAAAAAATTTCTTGAATTGTTTTACCTAAGGTTTGAAGACGATGAACACAGAAAAAAATTATATTAATAATTGAATGTTAAGATTGAGATTAAGGATGTTTAATGGAGAATAGGATAATATAATTACAAAATAAATAGTCATCGTAATAGATGTATTACCTCCTTGTCAATTAGGATGAGTCTCATAATATCAAAATTTTCTGCATTGTTGGAATAATATTTGACTAAACCCTTCGAACTACAATTACTTTAAGGGACCATTCATTTTCATACGTAAATAAGTCGCTATAGCATTTGATTCCATGATACTAGAGAGCAAAATATTTGATAATTGAAATGAAATAACAACCAATTTGTAATAATATTTTAAATAGTTAAGAGATTAATTCATTTACATCTAATACTCATGAGAACAATCAAATAAATCTATGAACATTGAATTTAATTAATTTGAATTAATGAATNAAGGACGAAAAGTTGGCAAAAAAATTTTATTGTATAGCTGACGTGACACCGCCACGTCAGATGTGGGCATTTGTTCTCCTGCCCACTGTGGGCAGGAGAACAGGCCTGATACTTTAGTTCTATATCTCAATGGAAAGTACTTGTTTTATTGCATGTTTACAGTTTGTGCATCATGGAATAACACCCCTTGATTGTAAAACTTCACGAGTGCCAGAGGATAAAATACAAAAAGGAAAAAATAAGAACTACCCATTGTTTTACACAGCGCTTTAAGCTCACGCCTTAAGGTCCGTCTCACGTTAATGCCATCATTAATCACAAGAAATCTTACATTTTCAGTGTCATTTGTCAAGGTTAAAGCCATGACTTATTGACGCGTATGCCTCAAGGCATATGACTTTGGGCATTTAATTGAGTTTTGGTGCACGCATGCGTGTCGCACAGAAAAAAATTTCTTGAATTGTTTTACCTAAGGTTTGAAGACGATGAACTCAGAAAAAAATTATATTAATAATTGAATGTTAAGATTGAGATTAAGGATGTTTAATGGAGAATAGGATAATATAATTACAAAATAAATAGTCATCGTAATAGATGTATTACCTCCTTGTCAATTAGGATGAGTCTCATAATATCAAAATTTTCTGCATTGTTGGAATAATATTTGACTAAACCCTTCGAACTACAATTACTTTAAGGGACCATTCATTTTCATACGTAAATAAGTCGCTATAGCATTTGA